TGTTGTTGATGCTGTAGCTGTTTTTGGTGTTGTTGTTGCTCTTGCTGTTGTTGCTGTGGGTGTTGTTGTTTTTGTTGTTTTTGTTTTTGTTGCTGTTGTTGCTGTTGTTTTGTTGTTGTTGTTGCTGTTGTTGCTGTTGTTGTTCTTTGGTTTGGGTTTTTGCCTTGCTGATTTTATCAGTTGGCACCGTATACAGTGTGCACCTCTGGCAGTCATTTCACTGGCGGTATAGCGAAGTAAATGTATAGCCTACTATAAATTATTAGATTATATAAGGACCATATACAACTCAAACAGTTGGCGGATGGCGTTGTGAAGGAGTAAATAATATGTTTAGATATGTGCTCCTTTTCGTGATTTAGCAAAACTTGGCAGTAAGCGGGGTTGGCAGTATAACGAGGAACGGTACAATGAGGTTTGACTATTACACGGCCTATGTATATGATGTAGATCTATTGGTCTACGTTGTACCTGGAGCCTGGTCTATATTAGCCTGCCAGATTTTCAATTAAAATCAGGGGAAGGGACAGTTATTCATTTCCACCAGCTCAGTATTCCTACCAAATTTAAATGGAGTGATTAACCCCTCAAGCCTACTAGGCTATAGCCTATTTAATTTATATTATGCTACAGAGAGACTTATTAACTGATATATAGGTTCTTTTTTGTGACAAAAAGAACTACCTGAAGTAAGCTTGGCGCTTTTGGGACATACGCTTACTTAAAACGACAGTATCTATCCCTTTACAACTTAATTGGTTTTAATTCAAACAGGAAAAGAAATTGAAAAGAAAGCCTGTAAATTGTAAATGTGGACCTACATGTATTAAAACAGGAGTCTACATAATTAATTATTCGTTCTAAGATTTCCAGCGAAACAAACATGGTACCAAATGATTGGAGTGGTCTCCCTTAGATCTAGTTATTTATTGTTGTCTATAGACTACGAAGTCGTCGTGGGGTATTGCATGGTATTTGCACCATCGACTTGAAGTTCTGGAACTTGAAGTTGTCCTGATTGAGGTACGAATATAGATTCTAGATCTAGATATCTAAATCAAAATAATTTTGATAATTGTATTGTTAGTTTTACCCTCCTATTCTTGAATTACATCGTCGTGTGTAGTGTTGCGAATGCGCATGGTGGCGGTACTCACAACTATGACAGTAAATCTAGTAAATGACCATTGAATTGGAACTGGAAACCAGCTGCTAAATGAAGTAAATGAAACTGAAACCAAGTTTTCCGAGTGGTCACTTGTCCATAGTAATGTCAGTAATGTGGAGTTTAGTTTAACTTGGCTCTCATAAGTGTTTCACTCATTATGGCTATGGCCACCTCAATTCACTTCAGGGTGAAAATAGCACCGGCGAGCCATTCTTGGCTGGCTATTCTCACCTGGTGTGCGTTCACTGTGATAGCCTAGGCCAATCTGTGTATCGTTCACCGTGATGAAACGTTCCAGCACACTTGTGTTGAAAGCGTACTATTTTGTTTGTGAGCAGTGAGAGAGAAAGAGAGGGGAGGAGAGAGAGAGAGGAGTAGCGCGAGAACTCATTCCGCTCGTTATTGTCACGGATGCTAAGCGAACTGCTGCTACTGCTGTCTTGCTATGGAAGTGGCTATCCTCACCCTGGGTGAGAATAAAAATACGATCGACCTCTCACCCCGGATGAGACTTGCCAGCGTTGGCTATTCTCACCCGGTATGAAACAAGACCTGTTTTTCCTAATTTCGAAAGGGAGTGTATACAGACCCGGTAACTGGGAACAAAGTCCCGAAGTATACAGACCCGGTAGGGGAACTCTTTTGTGTTTTCGGAAAGTTTCAGCGCCCTCTTCGCTCAGGGTAGATAGGTAGACCAAGGTTCTTCTAGATCCATGGCCTAGGTTTAGATCTAGTTCTAGACAGACAGACATAAATCATTGATCTAGATATCTAGATCTAAATGAAGATTGCGGATGTCTTTTCGACGAATGATCGTTTTCCCTCTGTTTGGAGTTGGAGGAATCACAATTTGAAGAAAATAACAAGTTACATCACAATTTCAATCGAGCAGTCACCCTCTCTATTTCTCTGCCTCTCTCTCTCTTTCTCTCTCTCTCTCTCTCTCTCTCTCTCT